TCTCTCTCTCTCTCTCTCTCTCTCTCTCTCTCTCTCTCTCTCTCCCTCTTTTCTCATTCTCATTCTCTCTCCCTCGTTCTCTCTGTCTTTTTATTTCTTCCCGTCTATTTCTTCCTGTATGAATCCTTATTTCCCAGTCTGTACTAGTTTAAATCCTGAACGTACGAATGGGAAGCATGAGGGGAAGAAAAGTGGAAAGAGAAATCTTGTTGTTGCGTCTGGTGAGTAGGAAAAAAGCCAAAGAGTTAATGACCACACTAGGATTGGGAACTCGGGAGGTTGTAAAATTGACAGTGATGGGAGCCGCTAACAAATGAGATGGCCAAAAGTTTATCACATGTTCTATACTAAAACCACGATACTGGACCCCGTAGAAATCCCCACGTCAATGGCATTCTCCCCTCTCTTCCAAACTGAAGGTTTAATATCCGTGCTTCGGAAATGCTTGTGTTCCTCGCTGAGTGAGTGTTCGAAGCGGAGGCGACTGAAAATGGCTCATCTTTCCGAACTGGCAATCAGTACACGAGTAATGACATGCAGCAATGCACCCATTTGCATGCAAGGAAAATCTCCAAGACTTGATGCTCGCTGATGGCTGCTGTTTGATCCAGTTGATAAGATAATTGAGCCCGTCTCATGAAAGCCCCACGAACTACATCCGGGTCATGGCAGCCACAATGGGCGTTGCTTCCGGTGTTGTTTTAGCTGTATTGCTTGACCTGGCCTTGTGTGTGCTGAGAACAGACGAGACTCGACTTATAGACGCCATCATGACGGACTATAACCCGGCAGCAAGACCAGTTTATAACGCATCTCACACTGTCATTGTGAAGTTTGGGATAACTTTGACACAGATATCTGATATGGTAAGTACCGAAAGCATTCACTTTTGTATCTGTACACAATTTTGTTTCTTGAAATATTATTTGCTTCTACAGGTGGATCTGATATTACAAGAAGTGTTTCCGAAACACGTGAGGAGAGTGATCCCAAACCTGTAGAGGCATCCAGCCACCAGCAAAGAGAACAACAACAGCGACAACAGCAGCAGCAGCAGCGTTTGGATGACACAGGATTCCGCTACAAAGTTATCAAAAGACCCATCCCAGACGAACAGCTGTTGATGGAGAGCCTTATGCATAACTACCACAAACACTCGCGACCTGTCGTGAACGCTTCCTTGTCTGTTGTCGTTAAGTTTGGCTTTACGCTCGTTCAGATTTCCGACATGGTGAGTATTGTTTACGAGAAAGGACCAGCAAACTACTTTTTACAACAGGATGTATGATGGAACATCGGGGTAGGTTATTCGTTGCACAATGGTAGTCTAACACTCTCACTCTCGCATGCGTGCGCTCGCTCGCTCGCTCACACACACACACACACACGCACACACACACACACACACACACACACAAACACACGCACACACATACACACATGCACACACATACACACACATACACACACAC